TATAACGGGTCGAACGTAGCTCTTGTAAAGGAGCATCATGGCTTTGGGAGTAAGGCGCTGGGCCATGTAACATAGCAACGTAATTCTCTGTTTGAATTTCCCACTCATATTTATGTAATGCTGGTGGAAGTTAAGATTAGCGGTGAAATTGCAGGATTGTTGTCGCCATGATCCGAAGAAAGTACCCACCCATGCACTCGTGCTTGTTTGAGAAGAGGTATATGGTCTTTATCCAAATATTTGTATGTTGGGAGTGGCGGCACCGAGGCTCAGACGAGAGTGCTTTGACGACGCTGTCCACGGCCAGAGATTAGGCCTTTCCCAAATCGGCCGGCCGAAAAATTCGCCGAAAAGTAGCCTTTTCAGAAAATCGCGGATCTTTTGGCCGAATTCGCCGAATATACATTCACATGTACATGTTTTGCAGGGTCGTGGGCAACTGGGCATGACCGCTCGTGCGCGCCTGCGTCACGGCCCGTGGGCATTCCACAAATCGGCCGGCCGAAGCATTGGCCGAAAATGGTGGTTTTGAAGAAATCACCGATCTTTGAGCCGAATACGAGCAATATACGTTTGGAGATCACACTGTGTCCGAGCTATCGGAGGTATAACTCCTCGGCATCACATTTGACTCGGGCCTCTCCTGCAAGACCCACCTCCACAACACAGCACTCAAGGCGAATTCTCGCCTGGGCTTCCAGCGCAAAGCTGCTCGCGTACTCGATGGTGCTGGTAAACGAACCGTCTACAGAGGTTTTGTGAGGCCAGTCCTAGAGTATGCGCCATTGGTATGGATGGGAGCTGCTTCAAGCCATCTGCGCCTTCTCGATCGAGTGCAGAGACGCGCCCTCCACATTCTTGGCCCTGATGTCCTCCTCCAGAGTTTGGCAGCAAGGAGATTGGTCGCCGCCCTCAGCTATATGTATAATCTGATATATCTGGCAGGGCCACCGCAACTAACGTCGCTGGTCCCCCCACAGCTTCCTCCACGAACATGTCCTCGAACTCGGTCCGACCGTTCGGTGCACCACGAGTCTCAGATACAGAACGTCCTCCCGGCTTCCTCTCCTGATTATGTGCGACGGTGCTTCCCCTACAGCATCATTGACGAGTGGAACAACTTGCCCCCAACTGTGCTGCAGTCTCCGCCACGCCTGACGTCCCTCCAGTCGGTCAAGGGCAAGGTGCATCAGCACCTACGACAAAGCCGCTGGTATTGGGCTACAGGCTCGCTGTAACACCCCATATACCCACAATCAACTCCCTCCCACTCACCTATCTATTTGCATGTGCTCAAGTTCGTAATCTCGTCTATGGTGTGCTGGATAGGACTAACGCCGAGACCCTAGGTCGGCATTGCTAGTCCCGCCTCACCGGCACAGGCTCCCTGAGAGCCCCTACTAGTACATTCTCTGTCTTTCTCCTTTGTTGTCTCGATCATTATTTTTATTTTTTGTCTTCTTCTTCTCCTCTCTTTGTTATGGTCTATCAGTAGGAGGTGCATTCTGTAAAAAAAACCGTTTACGTGCCATCTTCACGATCCGCCAGTTCCGCGCCAGCATGATCCCGCACACCCTTAGTAACTAGAGTACCAAACATCCTGTTTGATGATCAGCTGGCTTAGTTTCTCTCCACCTCTATCCTTATTACATCCCTCCCCAATTTCATTAATTACTGCTTTCTATCTGCATTTGCCACCTTTTCATTGGGCAGATCTGCCCGTTTGGTTGGCGAATTGAAATAAACACAACAGCAACAAACAACATATGTGTGGGTAATGCATGCCTTCACGTACCTTGGCAATCACTTTATTTTATTTTATGGAGTATGCTCTTCCACATTCTACCATGGTCAACATAATCTTTCTTACTCAGTTAGGCCACCCTTTGTTAATTCATTGTTTAACGTCCTTTTTTTCGCGAAAAGGTACGCGGGAGGGCGGAAAAAAAACAAAAGCCCATTCCAAAAACTGGAAACCCCAATCAAACATTTTGACCAGTAAAGCATGCGATATATACAATATTTCTGGGTCTAGCGGCACTTGCAGGCATGAACAACACTCTTTGATGGTACATTGGAGCACATGCCTGATGAATCCAACAAAACAGGTACATAGCATGGAGTTAGCATGTCATGAATTCATTACATCTGGATTTTTACTAGGGCACACACCGTACGATATTTAAAAGCCAACAAAAAAAAGAAAAAGAACACAAGACAAAGGCATGCCCGGGAGGCAAGATTATAAGTTTAAGGTCATGATCGGCACACTGTGAAACTACACAATCATGTATTTACAACTTCGCATAGTATTGGTACTACTACTTTCTTGTTTTTTTTTCAGGTCGGAGGCAAAAAGGTACGCGGGCGCGGACGTTAAACAACGAAAAAAGAAAGGGTGGCCTTACCTACAGAATCATGCATGGGATGTCGTGGTACTGACCTGTGCGTTCTGCCCGCATCAATACCACTGTTATTTACTGCGAGTGGCGCGGGGTTCTACATACCTCACTGGAGGTTTGAGACTGGAGTTGTGCTTGTATCACTGCTGTAGCGTAAAACCTACTTTCCTCGCTGTTTGTGTCTGTGTTGTCATGTGCATGTAGTAATGCACCCGCCATGACATGCTTTGCACTTCTCTACGCGCTTTGCTTCCTTCTTTTGCACTGCGGTTTTTCCATGTCAGCTTCATCCCTGATGATGGTCATGAAGACCGAATCGTTGAAACGATACCTCCAATGGATTTGTGTGAAATGCAGTGCTCTCTTGAGTGTAGGAAGGTTGCCTGCAAACTATTCAAGTGTAATCCTAAGCTGCTTGAATCGTCCTTCAAAAATTGTCATCGTTTTATTGCACATTGTCTCCACCGTTTTACATGGCATGAATAAAGTATACACAAATGTCGATTCAGCTTGTCCATTTGATTGCGGTTATTAATTATAATGGATCGTTTTAGATTTCCCGTATGTGACCTTGACGACTTATACCAAAAAGAGGCATTTATAGTGGATAGCCTGGAACCTCTCTGTTTTTGTTGTACATCTTGCATTGTCTGGCCCGTGCAATTACTCCTTGCCACGTTTGAGGCCAGAAAAGTCCCAGAAAAGGGAAATAGAATTTCAGCAAGGTTTTACAAAATTAGGACAGGTATACCATGGCAAAATGTGTGGAGAAGCAGATCCCAAACTCAGAAATTTGAGATTTAAAGTGGGTTTTTGATCCTCAATTCAGTCAAAATCGCACATTCAAAAGCCAGCGGGACTGTTTCGGATGAATGGACACTTGGAGAGTAGTGCGGCTGCAGCCTTACATATCGTCACCATGGTTACATGCATTCAACACATTTATATTCCTATATAGACAAACATGCAGCCAGAACTGACCATTAATTGGCCAACAGAACATTTTGAACGTGTACAGATCACGAGCGCTCGAGCCTTGACGCCGACGTACACTTCTAGACAGTACGTGCGGTGATTTCATCGCCGAAGTCGCAACCACTACTTCGTACTGTTGTGCCCAGCGCGGGCTTGCGACTAGTTGGTTTGGAGGTGACAGCGTTGCGAATGACCGAGGGTCCTCAACGTCTGGTCTCACCGTCCAGGAGCGACACTGACTCGCGCTGCTATCTGGTGTTCACGAGGTGTTTGTCGCGCTGGAAATGGAGCGTCTCTGTAAGTTTGTATCCCTGGTGATGTTTGTGTCTGGAGAGCACTATTATAAGTGGAGCTCTTCAGGCACAATCTTCCTCAGCCTACTCAAGCTCAACTGATGAGGGGTGAATTCCCCGAAACACTGTGTATTGAGCAGGGAGTGGTGCTTTCTTGCAGGTTTGCCGGGTCGAAGGTTGGATGGACTTCTCGTGTGCTCTGGATGGCAGTCGTGAGTCAGTCAAGTGTCAAGTAAAGTCGGCGGAATAGCGCGAGCTCCAGTGTGGTGAGCAAACCCTTTCGTGCGGTGATTTGTTGAATATAATGTAAACACTGACTGGTCCATGCAGCCACCAACACACCCACACATACACACATGTGCACGAACACGACACACACACACACACACACACACACACACACACACACACACACACACACACACACACACACACACATGTGCACGAACACCCACATGCACACATGCACACCCTACCCACAACCCAACACACCCTACCCACAACCCAACACACGCACACACACGCACACACACACACACACACACACACACACACACACACACACGCACACAGACACATATGTCGCGAACGTCGCGATGAAATACATGTACATGAATTCGGAATAACCAATTTATATTTGCATTACGTGACGATGATTTTGTACTCTCTTGCTTGCGCAATTGCTTACGTTGTGGCTGATTCCACGCTTGGGTTAGCCGAAGTCTAGTTCCCCATCGTCCTTTCTAGTGATTGATTTCATTCTACTTCGAAGTAGCTTCGAAGCAATCCTTCGTTTCTCTATTCTTTGCATTTTGTTCACAAACAAATTCTTCGTTATGTTTTCGTCCCGTGAGTATTTTCGCGCTCTTGATTTGTGTTGCTCACGCGCGTGACTTTCCTTTCCTTTCCTTTTGTTATGCATGACCATGATGACGTATTGGTATGACGTTTATGTGTACGTGACCACGTGACTGCGTGTTCACTAACTCCTGACTGTACAGACAGTAGGCTAGTGCATTTTAGCGATTCGCTCTCCTTGCTGTTCACTTCTTCTCCATTTCTGTTTGTCGCTGCACTAGTTCCTTTTGTTACCATGCCACGTAAATGAAGGTCGTGGTCGCCATTTTTATGCATGTTCTTTGTGCGCAGCTGCCTGTGGATGCAGCTGCCCTTTTTCCGTTAAAATTTGATCTTGTTTGAGAAAGAAACAAAGAAACAAACTTTCCAAATCAAGAAACGTAAATGTCTTTCATGTCCGTTGAGTCGGGATCTTTATGATGTCGCGAGTCACGACATGAAAATTTGGTGCTGAAACCCCGTTTAATCAACCATGGCCTCGACGGAAGGAGGAACGTCAGGGTCCGGACAAGCAGAGTCAGGCTCCAACAGTGATACGTCGAAAATGGATACGGTCACCCTACCGGTGCAACTGACTTCTGTAAGCAGCTCAATTCAATGCCTGGTGCGAGATCTGCAACAGGAGGAGCACGATGCTGACCGGTTTATTGCCGGGCACGTGCCCCCGAATGACGTTGAAGACTTCCTGGTAAGCTTTGAAAGTATTGTCGAACGATTAGAAATCAAATTGAATCAATTTTCGAATGGTGTTGCTCAAATGCCCGCATCCACCAAGGGACAACGTGCCCAAGTTGAATCACTGAAACTGGAAATTAATGGAATGACAGTCTTGGTAGAATCAGCGGTCTCAAAAATCAGAAAATTAAAACAAGTGGCAATCAGACACAATAAACAAATGGCGATGGTCCAAGCCCCATTGCCAGCGGAGGATCCGCATGGTATTCAAAACCTTGTCAATGTGCAAAACAAAACAACACAATCTCTATTGGATGCCATCCATACACTCACCGGGCGTTCCGAATCACAGTCCACGCATCCCCATCATGTACGATTACCAAAACTGGAATTACCAAATTTCAGGGGTGACGTCCTCAAATTTTCCGAATTCTGGGATGTATTTCAATCCACGGTACACGAGAACCCGTCTTTATCCCACGCAGAGAAACTGGCGTATCTAAAAACATGTTTGTCGGGCACGGCACGCAACGTCCTTGATGGGATCGTCCTCGACAACGACCACTACCCAATTGCTGTCGAATTACTCAAAGAACGGTTCGGCAGGCAGCAAATGGTGCTGAATGCCCACTATTCAGCACTGGTCGATCTGCCACCGGCCTATGACACGGCCACATCACTGCGCCAGTTGTACGACACAGTTGAAAAACACATCCGGGCGCTCAGTGCTATTGGCGAAGACTGTGACCAAGGGATTTTTGTGTCTCTGATCACGTCAAAGCTGCCGAGTCCTGCCATGTTTCAACTGGAATTAGCTAAAGGTGAGGAGACGTGGTCCGCCGACCGTCTCCGCAAACATTTACATGACTATATCATGGCAAAGGAAGCAGCAGCTCGACCAACATCAGTCGGTTCTGCACAGTCAAGCATGACTGTACCGCGGTCCACGAATGCCAGCCCTGGCGACATGCGGCCAGTCCAGACGTTGGCAGTTTCGGTCAAGAAACCACAACGCGCAAAATGCTTCTTTTGCAAGGAAGCCCATTACACAGATGAATGTGACCGGTACAGAACTTTAGAGACCAGACGCCAGCAAATCCAGGGTCGGTGCTTCATTTGTTTCCGGGACAGCCATATGGCTCCGGCTTGTCCGAACCCCTGGGCTTGTGCACATTGCCACAAGAAGACACACCACCGCAGTCTCTGCCCTTCCAAATTCGGAACTGGCCACCAACAACAACAACAATCGAAACCACCAATCAAAGCCAACACAACATGTGTCACAGCTCCTAGCTCTCCCAGCCAACAACAGGATGCAGTCATCCTGCAAACAGCAGTAGCCACAATTGGCGGCGCCACAATTACCCAGCCCGCGCGGCTCATGTTTGACACTGGGTCGTCACGGTCTTTTATTACACAGGAAGCACAACAGGCACTTCAACTTGATGCCAATGGTTCAGACACCATCGCCATGGCTGGCTTTGGCGACAGTACCCGCAAAGTTGTCTGTCTGCCACGTGTGCAACTCTCTGTCGGGTGTGATGATGGCTCCACCGTTACGGTCATAGCCAACGTAGTCGACAACATAACATGTCCCATCCAACGCTTTCCACTCGATTACACCAAATATCCGGTTCTGCAGTCTGTAAATCTTGCTGAACCCACGCCCCTTGCAACAGAGAGCGTGGTTGTCGACGTACTAATTGGAAGTGATCATTACCATCACCTCATTGGCCCTCAGGTCATATCCGTTACCGCTGACCTAGTGCTGGTCGAGTCCAAGTTAGGGTTTATTCCGTCTGGCAAAGTGTCTGGTGATACGCCCCCAGACACCGTCATGCATCTGTCGGCGGATTCCATAGCGGATGACACCTTACCTGCACTCGAAGATCTGTGGAGCCTTGAGAGTCTGGGCATTAATGACAACCCAGAAACAACAGACAACGACATGGTGAGAGAACACTTCAACGCCACAATACGCAAAGAAAACGGTCGCTACACCGTCAACTGGCCGTGGAAGGAAAAAGCTCCGCAAGTGAACTATGAGCTGGCCAGAGGTCGACTCGTCTCCCTAATCAAGCGGCTTTCTACACAGCCAGACATCCTACGGCACTACGACCAGACAATCAGAGACCAACACGCAAGTGGTATTATCGAGGAAGTCCCGAATGCCGTGCCCACTGGGCCGGTCCACTATTTGCCACACCACTGCGTTCAGCGCCAGGCCAGCACAACAACCAAACTCCGCATCGTATACGATGCGTCAGCAAAAACCAACAAGGATGGAAACAGCCTCAATGACTGCCTTCACAGCGGCCCCAGCTTGCTTCCCGACCTGGGTGGCATACTGGTCCGTTTTCGCCTGTTCCCTGTTGGGATCACCAGCGATATTGAGAAGGCATTCCTCCAAGTGGGCCTCGACGAACCAGACCGGGACTACACCCGCTTTCTGTGGCTCAAGGACATTTCTCAACCAGTCTCACCAGCAAACCTGGTGACATATCGTTTCTGTCGAATCCCGTTTGGTGTTATTTCCAGCCCGTTCTTGCTGTCTGCCACCATTCATCACCATCTCGACAACAGCAACAGCACGCTCGGTTCTGAAATCCGCGACTCCACCTATGTGGACAATGTGATAACTGGGCGCAACACGGCTGATGAAGCCAGTACTCTCTATGATTCTGCAAAGAGCCTATTCAACGACGCCGCTATGAATCTCCGTGAATGGTCATCTAACAGTGATACATTTAACCACACCCTGCCAGACTTCGACAAGGCCACATCCAACAATGTGAAATGCCTCGGCCTGGCTTGGGATACGAAAGAGGACACTCTCAATGTCATTTCTCCTAATGTGGCTCACAAACACGCCAACACCAAGCGCAGCATCATCTCCGCTGCTGCTCGCTTTTACGATCCCGTTGGCTACCTGTCACCTCTGTTTGTTCGAGCCAAACTTCTGATCCAGGACATCTGGAAAGCAAAGCTCGACTGGGATGATCCGGTTCCCAACAGCATTGCAGATGATTGGCAGGCTATTGCCCAAGACCTGGACAAAGCAGACACGTTCAAGCTCCACCGTTTCACTGGTCTTGACCCAGCATCTGTCACTCGCCGCGAACTTCATGTGTTCTGCGACGCATCCGAAAAATCGTACGGTACGGTTGCCTATCTCCGTGAAGAAAGCGCCACCGCTGTGGCCACAGTCCTGCTCGTCAGCAAGACGAAGGTAGCTCCACTCAAACAAATGACAATTCCTCGTTTGGAGTTGATGGCAGCGCTAATCGGTTCTCGGCTTATCAAATTCCTCCAGAACACACTGCCATTTGATCTCCACCGCACTGTTCTGTGGTCCGATTCAACTTGTGTTCTACACTGGATCAATGGCACGAACCAGCAATCTGTGTTTGTCCAGCGGCGACTAATGGAAATCCGGTCGAATCCGACAATTGCATTCAAGTACGTCAATACGGATTGCAATCCTGCTGACCTACCCTCACGTGGTGCGACAGCTGCTGCATTGCACGACAGCAAACTCTGGTGGGAGGGTCCTGAATGGCTACGCGGTGATACCAGCTCACTCGGTGAACTACCATCCCCTTCACTTACCACAGCTGCAGCAATGGTCTCAGAACCACCCACTGAGGTATCTGTCGCAATCAACTCTTGCCCTGGGGAGGGTCCTTTCATCTCTATCGAAAGGTATTCCAGTTGGTCGAAAGCGGTACGCGTAATGGCTTACGTGAAACTGGCAGTACAGAAGCTGCAAGGCAAATGCAAACAACAAACACAACTAACCACAACCAATATCAAGGAAGCTGAAATGGAATGTGTACAAGTTATCCAAGGTCAAGAATTTGGTGAAATTAAAAATGCAATTCAGAAAAAACAAAAAATGGAACTCGTTACCAAACTCGGTCTACTTATCGATACCAACGGCCTAATTCGGTGAGCAGGGCGCATGAAGAATGCTAGGTTTCCAGAATCTGGTCCAATACTGCTGCCACGGAAACATCCTGCCACGAGGCTAATCGTGCAACTGTGCCACGCTCGCGTTCGGCACTCCGGTACTAGCCAGACGCTCATGGAGGTGCGTAAGCGTTTCTGGATAACTCGTGGGCGGGCCACCGTGCAGACAATATTGCACAGCTGCTACCACTGCAAGAAATGGGAAGCGAAACCATACCCAATGCCGGATTTTGCTCCACTGCCGAGCAAGCGTGTTAACAGGTGCATACCATTCTCGTACACTGGTATCGATTACTTCGGCCCAATGACAATGACCAAGGAAAGCGAGAAATGCAAGGTATGGGTTTGCCTGTTCACATGTTTGACTACCCGCGCAATCCACCTCGAGCTAATGGAAGACATGACAACAGCCTCATTTCTACTGGGCTTTCGTAGATTTATTGCCCGTAGAGGTACGCCGATTGAAGTTTTGTCAGATAATGCAAAACAATTTCACACTGCCTCGAACGTCATTGGTGAAGTTTGGAATGACGTGAACCACACCGATGACTTTACTTCGTACTGTGCTACGAATGGAATACAATGGAAATTCATAGTACAGCTGTCTCCATGGATGGGCGGCGCATACGAGCGCTTAGTACAATCAGTGAAAAGGGTCCTACGAAAGACAGTGGGCACTTCAATTCCAAACCGTGATATGCTCAATACGTTTCTAATGGAGGCGGAGGCGATAATTAATGCACGTCCACTGGTCTACGTTGGAAACGAATTGGATTTTGGTAATGTTCTTACTCCCAACCATTTCTTGTCTTTAAACCCGAAGTTGGGCACTCCTGGTATGGAGGGAGACTTTGGTAATGACCCGACGTTTGAGCCTGACACGTCTTTGGCTAACACATTGCTAACTGCCTGGACGGATGGTCAACGCCTACTACAGACCTTTTGGTCAGAATGGCAGTATTCGTATCTACCCACGCTACGTGAACGTGGTCAGACTGCACTTCCGCATGGAAGACTGCAAGCACATGATCCACCTGCTGTGGATACTGTTGTCCTAGTCAAGGAAGAAAAGATGCCACGCGGCTCTTGGTTAATTGGACGAATTGACAAACTGCACAACAGTAATGATGGTGAAATCAGATCTGCAACAGTTGTTCTGCCATCCAAGCGGCAGATCCAACGTCCACTATGTCTGTTGTACCCAATTGTGCAAGCGGAGAATCACGATGCAAAGCACGATGACCCGCCGCTCGCACAACCTGCACAACCTGCACAGCCTGTACAGCCTGCACAACCTACACAGCAACAACCAGCTCGACCAACACGCCGAGCAGCCGCTGGTTCCCGTGCTAACCTGAAGAACCTAATAAGTCAAGGTGCAGTATAACTCTGTAAATAGTCTGCATGAATGTATTTATACACAGTACACTCTCTTGTTGAACACTAAGCAATCACCACACACTCATTTACACTTTGTCTACACTACTGCAATTACAATCGCTCTTCTTCTCTGTTGTGGGGAGTGTCGCGAACGTCGCGATGAAATACATGTACATGAATTCGGAATAACCAATTTATATTTGCATTACGTGACGATGATTTTGTACTCTCTTGCTTGCGCAATTGCTTACGTTGTGGCTGATTCCACGCTTGGGTTAGCCGAAGTCTAGTTCCCCATCATCCTTTCTAGTGATTGATTTCATTCTACTTCGAAGTAGCTTCGAAGCAATCCTTCGTTTCTCTATTCTTTGCATTTTGTTCACAAACAAATTCTTCGTTATGTTTTCGTCCCGTGAGTATTTTCGCGCTCTTGATTTGTGTTGCTCACGCGCGTGACTTTCCTTTCCTTTCCTTTTGTTATGCATGACCATGATGACGTATTGGTATGACGTTTATGTGTACGTGACCACGTGACTGCGTGTTCACTAACTCCTGACTGTACAGACAGTAGGCTAGTGCATTTTAGCGATTCGCTCTCCTTGCTGTTCACTTCTTCTCCATTTCTGTTTGTCGCTGCACTAGTTCCTTTTGTTACCATGCCACGTAAATGAAGGTCGTGGTCGCCATTTTTATGCATGTTCTTTGTGCGCAGCTGCCTGTGGATGCAGCTGCCCTTTTTCCGTTAAAATTTGATCTTGTTTGAGAAAGAAACAAAGAAACAAACTTTCCAAATCAAGAAACGTAAATGTCTTTCATGTCCGTTGAGTCGGGATCTTTATGATGTCGCGAGTCACGACAACATACACAGATACACACACACATACACAGACACACACACACACACACACACACACACACACACACACACACACACACACACACACACACACACACACACACACACACACAATTGAAATAGTTGTGGACGCATATCACATTGCGTCCTCATCATAATTTCAAGAAGATTATATCAGTTTTTGTGAGCGGATAATCCAAGAAGTGCAAATAGCTGCTGATGGAGTACAACTTATGTAATATGATGGCAATACTACTGGCAAGCCTTCTTGGTTCTCCAGGCATACGTACGGAAATAGAGATGGGAAAATAGAGATATAGAAAAGGAAAGAGATAGAGAGATAGAGAGAGAGAGAGTGAGTTCTTCTGTGGCTCTTCAAATCATGTCCCTACAGAACACAGGAAAACAACACAGAGGCATGTCATTTTACCTCTCCGAGATTAATTAAAATATTCGGAACAGATTGTGCCGTACATCGCACAGGTGTGTGGGGTAGAGACCTGAACAGGCTCATATAATTGCATAACTTAAATCACTGCTGCGAATCGTGATTATATGTGTACTGGGAAGAATTTTGATTATTTCCCGAAACTACCACCAGAGCGCCCCACCAGCTCGTCCTTTCGGGGCCGCATTGTGGATGTGGCCTTCTGTCTGTAGGTCATCCGACACGAACTTTCTACACATAGTGTACGTTCTGTAGACTATCTGTACCTTCGAGCGGACACGAGCTCCACACAAAAGCCTGCTTTGTGTGACCTTAGTACACTACGGTTCTCAACACTGTACAAACTTCGTTGCACTCTGCAATACGATTTTCCTTCCTTTCCCTGGCGGTAAAATCAAGGTGGGGCGGTCTCGCGAGCCTGGGCGCTGTGGCGGTACTTTACATGCCATGTGGCCGTTGCATCGTCCACAGCCAATCCTCAAATCTCTATATCCGCCCGCTCAAGTGGGCAGATATTACACGTCATTGCCCGCTTCTCTCCAATTTCAAATAGAAATATTTGAAAGAAAGAAAAAATCAGATTCGAATCCACATCTACCACATCCTCAGCTCCTTCCTTTGCTACCCAGCCATCATGGTACCTTGCTACCCAGCCATCATGGTACCTTGCTACCCAGCCATCATGGTACCTTGCTACCCAGCCATCATGGTACCTTGCTACCCAGCCATCATGGTACCTTGCTACCCAGCCATCATGGTACCTTGCTACCCAGCCATCATGGTACTGATACTACCCAGCCATCATGGTACCGATACTGAACCCTGTCCAATTGGGCATCTGGAATCTGAAAAATCTGAATCAAGTCGTTATCAGGCATATAATATTATGTATTATTGACATCGTGCGGTGGGCAATACAACACTCAATATCTGACCTCGTGGCTGGCGCCGTTCGTGTAGCTATCGGACTGTATTGCCCTTGTACTCAGTCAATAGTACAAACTTCTCCCAACGAAGAAACTAGTGAACGAGGTGTTAACTCCAATTTTCAGCATGCTTTACTACTTACCGAACGACGTGATAGGCGTATTAAGTCTATTGATTGTCTGTGCAGTGCAGGGGACAAACATTCAAAGGATATCCAGTGTTAGAATCATCAAGTCGCAACCGTACTCAAAGAACAAAACACCGGAAAGCGATATCCAAAACAGACGAAGACTCGCCTTCACGAAATTGCAACATGGCGGATGTGGCGTTCACCACAACACCATTCTTCCACGCCGACATGAACTAATCAGTCAGTAATGAAAACGTGTCAACAGCTCCAGAAGTAGAGGCACAAGAAAAGAAGGAGGAGATGACTGGGTACTATAGACAGGATTCCAGGCAAAGGCTGTAGGGGCTGCAGTACCCCCTCCCTCCCCCTCCCCCCCCCCCCCTCTGACGGTATTCCCCTAACTCTGATATTGCACCACCCTATTCATTTTTCGATTTTTACACAGCGAAGATGCGGCCACAAATTATTCGTTCCGCATGGTCTCTGCACCGGTAAGTTGCACGTTTGGTGAAAGGGCAATTGAGTGACAAAAAAAGTGGACAAACTGTTTTTATCCCCTCTGCCCCCCCCCCCCCTCCCCACACAGAGGGAGAGAGAAAAGAGAGACAGAGACAGAGAGAGAGAGATAGAGAGAGAGAGAGAGACAGAGAGAGAGAGAGAGAGAGAGAGAGAGAGAGAGAGAGAGAGAGATAGAGATAGAGATAGAGATAGAGATAGAGAGATAGAGAGATAGAGAGATAGAGAGATAGAGAGATAGAGAGATAGAGAGAGAGATAGAGAGATAGGGAGAGAGAGAGAGAGAAATAGAGAGAGTGAGAGAGAGAGAGAGAGAGAGAGAGAGAGAGAGATAGCTAGATAGATAGAGATAGATAGATAGAGATAGATAGATAGATAGAGAGAGAGAGAGAGAGAGAGAGAGAGAGAGAGAGAGAGAGAGAGAGAGAGAGAGAGAGAGAGAGAGAGAGAGAGAGAGAGAGAGAGAGAGAGAGAGAGAGAGCAGAGACGGAGACAAAGAGAGAGACAGGCACATAGAGGCAGAGAGAGAGAGAGAGAGAGAGAGAGAGAGAGAGAGAGAGAGAGAGAGAGAGAGAGAGAGAGAGAGAGAGAGAGAGAGAGAGAGAGAGAGAGAGAGAGAGAGAGAGAGAGAGAGGCAGAGACGGAGACAAAGAGAGAGACAGGCACATAGAGGCAGAGACAGACAGACAGACAGACAGACAGACAGACAGGCACATAGAGGCAGAGACAGACAGACAGACAGACAGACAGACAGACAGACAGACAGACAGACAGACAGACAGACAGACAGACAGACAGACTGACAGACAGACTGACAGACCGACAGACAGACAGACAGACAGACAGACAGACAGACAGACAGACAGACAGACAGACAGACAGATTGACCGACAGACAGACAGACAGACAGACATACAGACAGACAGACAGACAGACAGACAAACAGACAGACAAACAGACAGGTAGACAGGGAATCAGACAGAGAAACAGACAGAGACAGACAGATACTGTGACAGACGGAGGGACAGCGGTAGATAGATAGATCGATAGATATATAGATCGATAGAGAGAGGTCATCAGCCTATCCCCCAATCAACTTATGGAGCATTTCCATTACTGGAATCCCAACCACACACACCTGATGTCCATACACTGATCCCCGTCCTGGCAATGGCCAATGCATCCCTCGTTATCACTGTAAAAAATTCCATTTTTGTTGATTCTTCATCATCATCACAATGGTCTGCATCGAGTTATGGTATAACAACAAATTGGAGGGCTTGAATCTTTTTTGTAAAAATCGAAATATTTTCCGGGTTGGAGGGAGGGAAACAAAGGTCTGGATGCTGTACTTTAGGATGAAACACTTACCTTTGCTTGCACAGATGTAGGCGTTTGAAGTCTTTTGCGGTGTCCTCACGCTGTTAGTCAGGGTAGTGTATTCCAAAAACTTGTTGGTCTTTTTCCTCCAGATCCAGATAGTCCTCACGTGCTCTCTTGGGAAGTGTGCGGTGGCCTCCTGCGATGAGTAGAGAACAAGACAAAGTTATGCACAGAATGTCACTAGGGTGTGAAGCGGTTCTACTGCTAGCTGTCGACACTCGTTGCAGTGGTTGTGACACTTAGTGCCTCATCCGTCATGGTCTGCCTTGCCAGAGATTGAAATGGTATTGTTTGGCCATTTGTAGCCAGTCACAATTTCCCCTAACTCACTACATGTATTAGTATCCTTCATATTCAACTACTCACTGTCAGGTGTGTTAGCCTAGCCTGTCTGCTCGTTATCTTTCATAAACAGTGTTGCATGACGTATTGCTTTTACATTATTCGTTCTTTTTGCATTCTCTCTTTTGATATCCTAATTTTGGGAATGCACAAATCAAACAATGCATTTACACATGATCTAGCATAGGGAGAAATGAGTGGTTTTTGCTCATGGGTTCATGGGCAGGAGAAGCACGTGAGTGAGATAGTTGTCTTTGTTATTTGGTGTTGGCCACTGATCAGTGTGTTTCTGGTGCATGTGTCTCCCATGGCTCAAAGGCTGTGTTCTTAATTAACACTAGTAAGCGGAACTTCTCACTTTTTCACATGCTTTTCTGGCTTTTGGGCTGTCATGCATATAGAAACCTGCCCTGGATAACATTTCCCACGTGTTCTCTTTTTCAGTCACTTAGACTGGTGGGGTAAAAAATTACTACTGTTAAACCTAATTTTAGGTTCGTAGTTAGTTTCTTCTCACCGGCGTAAATTCTAGGTGTACAGGTGGAATCCTGATAATTCGAATATGGCTTAATTCGAATATACCGCTTAATTAGAAGTTTTTCCAGGACCGATTTCTGTCAATACGATTCCCACACAACTTTTTCTGATAATTCGAACCTCGAACCAGACATGTCCGGAGTCTCACGGATTCCACTTACATAGAAAATGTGTGGGATTTGTGCTAATCATTCAAAGTTAGCAAAGTGTAATTCGAAGTTCACTGTACACTGTACTGGTCAGTTCAGTTTGCATGAGCAGGCTGTGCCGGTCAGTTCAGTATCCGTGAAATCTGTGTCTAAGGTCCATAGCGCAACTCTGCGTGACCATGAGAGCATTTTGACATACATTATTGTGTTGTGGGTTCATGTTTGGATAATTAGAATGTCCGGCTGATTCGAAGTTTTTTCCTGGCATTTCGAGGGTCTAATTATCAGGATTCCGCCTGTATTACAAATTTAAAATGTTGGCACCTTGGACCTGACAATTTCGGGTGTAATGTAGAATTTGCTGACCAGCATTCCCTACACATAAAGTAAATACTCTGGTGCCTTCTAGGTTTAATCTTTAAAGTTTGATAATGTTTCTCTACCAATTTTACCCAAATCAAAGTTACAAGAAACTAACTCTCCTTCTCCATGCGCTCTAAGTTCAAAGTTACACCGAAAATATACTGTTTCGAATAGTGTTGAAACGAGCGTATCTATAACAAACGAGCGATCAGTTCCACTAACGAGCAAGCTATTGAGCGAGCTAACGAGTTTCATTGATGTGGCAAATATGATTTTTTGAATAATTTTTTTTCTAAGTTCGATTTTTTTCAGCTGGTTCAAATTATCACCGCCGGCATTTGGGGTTGCTGCTGCTTCACTTCGGACTGCTGTTTGGTGTCGAGGTGTCTTTTCAGCGCCGTCGTCGAGTAGCCTTTGTAAGAATAGACCGTTTTGCAAAGATTGCAAGTAGTCCTGGCCTTCGCTGCATCGCGGGAGAAAACTTCCAAACGACTGAGCGTAACTATTTTACTTTCACTCGAATGGAAAGGTGACCGAAGCATATCCTGCGACAGGCCAGCAGATGCAGAACAAGACATCAGTAGAGTCCACCAAAGCTGCAACGACAACTGAAACAACTCAAGTGTAGTGCAGGTAAACAGTCACTGTAACTGCGAGTGATTTTCACTTTGCGCGGGACTGGAGTCTCGATTGACCAGGGAGTCGTAAAATATTTTACGACTCCCCGGTCGACATGTACTGCCATGTGTACGGAGTACGGTGTACGGTGTTCGTTAGTGCAAACGAGCTGGCCGCACAAACAAGCCGAGTTTCTGGCGAGCGAGCTAACGAGTATCCGGTGAGATCGTTTTAACACTAGTTTCGAAATACCCGCAGGCGTCACGCACTCTAAGCTTTGACTCAAATTGCTGTTTTCTGTGAAAGAATGCATGTGCGTTTGGGCGCACATGAATCGCAAGTGTGCACGCACACACGCAAGTTGTGGACACAACTTTTTAGCGTCCCTATTCAAGGAGACAAGATCTTCAACAAAACGAATGCCTTAGTGGTCTACATAATTATGTTGAACTTGTGTTCACAGCTGCATTGAATTGATTGACTCTACAACAGGAGATCATCAGAATTGGAACTGACCTGGACTTAGCCAATTCTAGCTGGCAGTAGCTATGCTATGTGATCAATCCGGTGCACCAACAGGTCACGCTTGTTTTGGTTTTTCTTGTTTTTTGTTGTTGTTGTTTTTTACACTGTAATAGCCTCTTTTTACCACCCGTCTTGTGACTAGTTGTCCTAGACACTTGCAATAGTGAAAGGGATTGTGCTGCTCACCTGGAAGCACTCATTGCTGTGCAGTCTCTGCGCCCACTTCTGTCTCAGCAGATTCATACCGTATTGACGACAGGTGGACACTGCGGTGTCTCTGGTGACCTTTTCGTGGCTGATTACCAGATTGTAACCTGAACATGTGAGCGCTTTGGACGCTGCAGAGGAGAACACAAGGTAAAACATTGATGGGTTACATTATTAACATTAAACACTGGCATTGATTAACCCTTATCCGACCGGCCAGCCAAATCGATGACTATCCGTCTGTACTCACTCATTTTATCGAATCTGCATCATTCCTGTTGCTATGCAGAAGACGTTACTTCAGTAATGTCTGGCGCTAGCCAGGGTCCACACAGCTTTAATTTGGTATTTGTTTGTTTGTTTGTGTGTTTGTGTCACGCCTGGCACTATCCCGTATCTGTCCCGTACCGTACCGTACCATCAAACACAGCTGGCCACAATATTCAAATAGGGCTTTCAAATGCAAGGTCATAACGTTTGTATCACGCATGGCGCTATCCCGTATCTGTCCCGTACCGTACCGTACCATCAAACACAGTTGGCCACAAACATCTGGCCACAATATTCAAATAGGGCTTTCAAATGCAAGATCATAACGTGAATCAACTTGGAAGAATGAGTATGAATGCGAAGTGTATTGGGGAATGCATGCAGGGCGATAGTGCGGGTTCGAATCCCAGGTTATGCCTTAAAAAAATAGGAGAAATGAAAAATTTAAAACATCCCTATGCTTTTTTTTGCGTAGGTCATCAAGGCAAAAAAGCATTCCGTAGCGCCCTGAGCTTCCAAGCTCTCTCGTTTTATTCGCGTCGGTGCACAAATGCAGTTGAATGCACTACTTCAGTACATGTGTAGAGGTAGCTACCAAAATCCAAGCTGGCTTGGAATGCTCACATTGCAACACAGCAGCATGGGAGTGTTAGTTGTCTGATGGAGTTACGAAAAATCAGAGGTCGGAGTTCGGCTGCCCCTGCTGTAGCTTCACACACAGGTCTAGTGCACTGTAGCATCATAGCCACCTGTCGGCTTCGGCGAGTCTGTGCGTTAACGTACTGCGCGCCTCTGTTTGCCATTTTCAGGCACGCTTTTGCCTCGTCTTGAAACAAGACTGTGACTGGAAGGTGATCATTGGTGCTGCCGTTTTTTGCGGAGTAGAAGGCGCACTTTGAACACTCAAAATTTACCACAAATCGGGGTGGGATTTATACTCTGATGGCGTAATTAACGGTGATAAAATAGGATACAAGTAAATAAGCGACGAGGTGACAATAGTTTTAGAATTGCAATAAACAGAACGAGCTGAAAAGTTAGTTCACAAAGGCTTTCTTATGTTCAAAACGAGTCAATACGAAGGCGGTGAAGAAAAGGGAAGGAGAAACAAATTTGACACGGAAGAAATGATGAAGAAGAATACTACGAACTAGTTTACGCACAAGACTCCTCCGGAAGTTACGTTGTACAAATGAAATCAGTCAAGAAAGGTACTAAAACCTTTGCGGTGCATCAGTCAATGTGGACCGGAGTTTGTTTTGCGTACCGTAACTAATAAAGAGAAATGAAGTGAGAATAAACACCTATGGAAGTGAGAATAAACACCTATGGAAATGATAATATCCCAACATTAAGGGGACAACAGGAAAGCTGTGACAGCATATAAAACCAACTATACGTCAAAAACTCTACCGTACTATTCATTTTTCATCATTCCTTTCATATCTCACATTTTTCTCCTTCCCTGTTCTTCACCGCCTTCATATCCACTCGTTTTGAACATGATCAAGCCTTTGTGAAATAAATTTTCAGCTCGTTCTGTTTATCGCAGTTCAACAACAGGATATGCATGTATGTTTGTATTTCGTTGCAAAAAAACCGGTAAGGCTTTTACTCCAGTGCGGCGTATACTCCGGAAAATACGCTATTAACGCACTCATGCAAATAACTTAGTGTCCCTTCTTTAAATATCCATCGCAAATGGGGCACTATTCAAGAGAGGGAACTATTTGCTTCAGTGCTGGTACGTTACGTTATCCATCATAAAAGCAAAGATAGCCTAAAAGTTCGCATTAAACTATCACGACTCACAGAAACGGCAAAAAAAATTGATCCTACGACAACCAGTGTAGTGACATGGACCAGAAATATAGCAACAGAACGCCAATTTGGTGCATGGGTTCTTTTTTTTACAAGGACGGGGGGGCTATTCAAGAGAGGGCTTTATTTTGCATTGGCTCTTAGAGACTGGGGCACGAAATAGCGCACTATTGAAGAGAGAGAGAGAGAGAGAGAGACAGACAGACAGACAGACAGACAGACAGACAGACAGACAGACAGACTGACAGACAGACAGACAGACAGACAGACAGACAGACAGACAGACAGACAGACAGACAGACAGACAGACAGACAGACAGACAGACAGACAGACAGACAGACACAGGCAGAGACAGACGGAGAGAGAGAGAGAAAGATAGAGTGAGATAGGGAGATAGATAGATAGAGAGAGAGAGAGAGAGAGAGAGAGAGAGAGAGAGAGAGAGAGAGAGAGAGAGAGAGAGAGAGAGAGAGCTCTAATCGCACGAGTACGGTATCTGGGCAGGAACAGTACACTCTACACTCCATGCATGTACATACTCAAGTAATAATTTTACAAGTGTCAGACAATGTGCAGTTCTTATTGCTTTTTGGAGCGATAGCGTTGGATATTTAATGCTTTTTTATGCTGAAAATGGAGAAGGACAAAATTTTACGAGTTATCACTAACTGCCCACCAACGTAACCAGATATTATACAGTCAGCTAGTGCGACAAAATGGCACAAAACTGACAAGGAGTACAGAGACTTTTGTCCTTCTCCTTTTTCAGCATAATATATTTAATTGGCTCAGCATCCAAGTTCAGTTTTTTGTAAGTTAGCAATTGGATTCAAACTGTTGGGGATAGATTGGGTGGAGCAACTTGGATGGAAAGTTGTACGGTCATGATTGCACTCTAAAAAAAACAGCCTCTCCAGCCCTGGGTCTATTTTGAAAATCGGGAGACTGCACAATTCCAATGAGAGAGGTTGGAGTACCTACCTTCCTCGCACACGAGGCCGCTCAATCCCGTAGTGACGGCCGTCTTTAATTTCAGAAGGCTGTTGAAAAAGTTTCTTTGATGCACGCTCATACTCCTTTTCCCACGGCGGAGCATGCGAGCACTAACCGAGGAGAGGTATATTGCTTCGTTGCCAACAACCTGACGCGTCCAGACAGTTTTATAAGCCCGGCGAAAATTTGCCCGCAGGAACATTTGTATCCTCGTTCCCAGTGTCTCGGTGGGCAGGGAGAGTCCCATGGATCGGCAGATGGCTCCAGCCATGGCATGGCTGTACCACCCCCTATCGCTGGTGTGCAAATACACTGTCCTCCTATTAATGTTGTATTGGTCCCTGAGGTTCAACGGCCCTGGGCATGTAACAAAAAGGGAAAAAGATGCCAAAAAGGGTGCAGCACACATCAATGGAATTTACACACACTTGAGGGGAATTAAAAGCGTTTCTGCTGTAACTCTGAGTTTCGCGGTTTTAACCGATCATCAGACAGCAACTTGACTACAGTTTTCAGAAGATAAGATTGATATAGGCTGCAAGCTTGGATCATAGCGTGAATGGATGATCCTGGATGATAGTGTAATTATGAAAATGATTGCGTGAGTTGGTTGATGGGGTGCAATGGAATTTATAATGTGCTGGGTTTTAGCCAAGTCAAAACAGTACGAGGGAGGGGGGGGGGGAGGAGGGGGGGGGCAGGAGAGGGCTTGGGAAACAGTTACGTATACCCCAAATTGTCTTGCCACGCAAAATGCGACGTACCGGGCGAACCCCCGACTTCACACCAGACAAATGGGCCCTTATGAACCCTCTGAAACAAGTCCAAATTGTAGTGACTATGCACTGGGTATACACACACACGCACGCACGCACACACACACACACACACAGACACACATAAATGCACACACACACAAATGCACACACACACGCACACAAACGCACACACACACATACACACACAAACACGCACACACACACACACACACACACAAACACGCACCTTGACCTTCAACGCCCATCGCCGGAGGCGATGATAGCAATGCTACGGCAGAAGCCATAGCAACTTGTGCTGGGATTACACCATTCAACAGCTTGCAAGGCTGAAGAATTGACCGTCACTATTCAGCCTGGTCTACACCATACAGCTATTTGGAGTGACATTTTCTGGCCAGTGAATCCCTTTTTTGGTCTTTTTAATTTTTTTAATTTTTTCTTTTTCTTTTTTTTTTCCCGCACACACATCACACCACATACTCCGGCATGCACTGGCTGTTGGTAACCACCCAGGAGAATGAAAGAAAAGTCAGGAAGAGTCTGAGAAAGAGAAGAAAGACGTGTGTGACCATAATCGTCGGGAATCGAACCCGCAATCTATCGTTTGGAAATCGCTGCACATACCACTGCACCATATGGGACACACACGCACACACACACACACACACACACACGCACGCACACACAAACGCACACACACACACATACACGCACACACATACTTGGTCCGTTTCATCGCAATTGTCGCTTATCTTCCACACACCTTTTGACAGGTAAAACCCAGTCCGATTTCAATATCTAACTCACATTCGGTTGGGAGGTTGAGATGGAAAGATCAAAGGAGACCAGAAAGAAAAAATCATCGCGACTGGCGCTAGTGGCATCGCGATTCGTACGATTTTGAAGGGAAAGTGGGGAACTTTTCGCTGCAGTGAATGCACTGCACTGCAGTCTGCAGTGAATGCACACATTCACTGCAGCGAAAAGCCAAGCGCAGCTCAAAGACCGGAACTGTAGCAGGGGAAATCGACATCCTGACCTGGAGAGCGTGACAGTCACGGCCAGGCCAGCCAGCTCAGTCGCCACGTTTGAACTGCAACGACCTGGCATTCTTTGCAAGCCTGCAAACTGATGGGAGATGGTGGCAAAGAAGACATTGTCCGACCTGGCAGTGGCAGTACAAGAGTCATGGTCAGCGTATCTAGCAGAGCGTATGACAGCTGTCTGGAGAGGGATGTGTGCCTGATTCAAAAACATTCTTGAAACACAGAGTACTGTAGTGACACATGGGCCACGCTGCCCACGTTCCTCCAAGTGCCAAAGTGACAGCCACTACTCTGTTCCTTTCCCATCGCTGCCATACGCCAAGCGGAGAAAGCAAGAGATACTCTACGCCAGCAGCTATACAGACCAGCGAATGCCAGCTCTAGTGACATCAGCTCAAGTGATACAGAGCCAGAGTCGGATAAACTAGAGCGTGAGTGCAAGAACGCGCTCCGTCGCTGTTTTCTTTAGTACATTTTTTGTAACCTTGCTTCCTTTCTTCGACTTGCTTCACCAGATTCCATCGCTGATTTTTTTTTCTTGTGGCGGACAGGAATCCTGTATCATGCTTCTTCACTATGCGTATTGGAAATTTTACAGAGCGGCAAAAAAAACTCCTGTTCTTAGTTGCGATAGATAAGCGACAATTGCGATGAAACGGACCAAGTACACTCACACGCACACACAAATGCACCCACACACACCCACACACACACAAACGCACACACACACACACAAACGCACACGTGATGTATTTGATTTTCTTACATGCACACATTTCCTGCGAACCAGCACGGCAGACAAGTCCCTGCGGACAGTTAGCACTCTCTACGCAGGATTCTGAACAGGGCACAGACAAGCACAGCACAGCAAACAATCATTACTGGTCAAGTCAGCCTTCAGAGCTTTACTACAGTGCATCTACGTCACTGAAGCAAACACCGGGTGTTGCACTTCCACAGACATGCGAACACTGGGCTGCGGAATGATGCAAGGAGCACTCTGGAGTGACGAGACTGCACTACATCGAGCAGCACTGTACATCCTCCACAAAACGTATTTTATTGTGAAGCCTTTAAGAGATTGATTTCAAAAAGTTGAATGAGCTTCTTTTTTCAGTGTTGCAAAGCTGTGTCCCCACCCCGTATCACTCTCCAATCCCCCGTGTGCCTCTCCAATGCTCTACCAGTAGGCTCTGGTACAATCAGCATCCCAACAGAGACCAGTCGACATCCAAACACATACTTCCAGTGTTACTACACGGGTTATTGAGATGCACGCAGCCCCTGACTCTAACCAACACACCTAATCAACATGCAGACCAGTAAGCGTGATCCCCAAGACATTAAACAATTCGTACGTTTGAGGGAGTTGAAATGGGAAACATGTGAAGGCGAATGTTTAAAAAACTTACTTTGGCAGCTTGGCACGGTACTGAGCTGGCCTTGAGCATTGCATCCTGGTCGAGCCTCACCCACCAGCATGAAACCCAAGGAGCACGAATACTGTGCGTGTCCGGGGTGGGAAACGGTGATCTGTTGTCGCCTTCCATTCTCAATTGCCGGAACTTTGCAATTGATAGCTGCACATGAGAAAACACGTTTCCCATTAGTTGAAACACATTGCAAACAGATCAGTGTTACATGAATCAGCGAGGTCCCACATGGTAAAAGCAAATTTAGTGGGGTATGAATCCAGACCGTGGATCCTTCTTTCCCAACCCACAGGAATTTGCCAAGACTGGTAGCTCTAAGATTCTCGACATCTTTGGTGCAAGGTGAAAAGCGCCCACTGCCCGCCGCCTTGAAGAATGCCGGAATGAAGTGAAAGAACACTATTTTAAACAGCGCACGCAGAGAATATGCCGCTGCTGAGTATGCAGGGACACTGCAACGGTGATTTACACAACACTTACCCAGTGCTGGAGTTGCGTGCAGCGTCGCCAAACAAATTGCGGCCACTATGGCAATGGCGCTCTGTAGGAGACAAACAAACCAACAAACAAACAAGTCATAATTATACAGCTACAAGGACGACTGATTGCACTGTGAGCATTTCCTGTATCTATGGTATGGTATTGTTATTTGAATTCACCAATCGAACAGGCATATCTGCCTTCTTGCTGGGATGGCCAGAGCCAACCACGGCTCCTACTAATTGATGAATATGATAATGTGAAGCAAAAATAAATGGTACTTTGTCAGCTATATTATTCTGTACAAAAATATGTTGACATGTATGTGTAAAATGTTATCCGATGATCGCAAGGTAGGTTCGGAAAGGTCCAAGAGAGGAAGCTATGTGTCGGGTAGCCGAATGTCTCAGTACTCCTGTGTCAGTTTCGTGGCATTTTGTCGCACTCGCTGACTGTATAAGATCCAGTTACGTTGGCGGACAGTTTGTCATAACTCGTAACATGTTGTCCTTCTTCTTCATCAGTATAATGGTTCCCGTCTTCATAATTAAAATGGTCACAGCTCTGTACATGGTCACTACATACCTATATGGTCACTAACAAACAAACAAACAAACACAAACAAGGCCGGTCCTGGAAGCTCGAGGTAGAGTGCTCAATGTACGAATGTACAGAGCAGTATACACACACAACAGAGGCGAAAGGCTGTGTTAGCTGTAACTTAAAGTTTCACGCTTTAATGACTCGGTATCACTGCCCTGTTATCGCCTCTATTCTCACCTTTATCCGTTAACTCTCACAAAACAACTCAGTACCATTGTCCCAATGCCACGTCTTCACTTCGCACATATGCACTAACTTCCACACTAGCATCAAATATTTAGGCCTGCTCGTAGAGAATTCGATAGTGAATGCTGCTGTCTGATGATCGTTCGATGCGTGAAACTTTAAGTTACAGCTAACACAGCCTTTCGCCTCTGTTGTGTGTGTATATGGTCACTACATACCTATATATGGTCACTACATATCTATACATGGTCACTACATATCTATATATGGTCACTACGTATCTATTATTGTCAGTAAAACCTGTCTAAGACGACCGCTCAGGGGACCTTCAAAATTTGGTCTGTTACCAGGTGGTCTCCTTAGACAGGAGAAGGTCATTTGAGTGGAAATTGCATCCCTTGATCCTGGTCTTCTAGGACAGGTGGTCGGCTTATCCGAGTGGTCACCACACACAAGTTTTAGTGTTTATGTGATATGGTGCACCGCTGTGCATTGTCACAGACGGTACACAGTGTGGTATGTGCAAGCCTTGCTTTCACAGATGGTGCTGCAGGGATCCCTACCACCTACGCAGGCCATGCAGGGCTTCCAGGTATCCCTACCTGAAACAGTCAACGCTATTGCATGCCTCGGCCCACTGGTTACATTTTCAGATCCATCGGCGCCCTGTGTGTGTGCGCGTGCGTGTGTGTGTGTATGTGTGTGGGTGTGTGCATGGGTGCATGCCTGCGTGTGTGTGTGTTTGTGTGCGTATGCGTGTGTGTGTGTGTATGTGTGTGTGTGGGGGGGGGGGGGGTGGTGCGCACGTGCGTGTGTGTATAGGTGGGTGTGTTTGTATGAACTTATTTTTTCATTTTGCAGGACTATATTTCATTTATTAGCCATGTCGCAGCACACTGTTTTTGTGAATTTGCTGTTTAATTTTTTGTTGACTTGCTTTCCCTTTCGCCAAGTCGCAGCACACTGTTTGTGTGACCCTACTTCGAACTACAGTACTGGTAAATGATGTGTGTATGTGCGTGTGTATGTATCTATGTGTGTGTGTGTGTGTGTGTGCGTGTGTATGTATCTATGTGTGTGTGTGTGTGTGTGTGTGTGCGTGTGTATGTATCTATGTGTGTGTGTGTGTGTGTGTGTGTGTGTGTGTGTGTGTGTGTGTGTGTGTGTGTGTGTGTGTGTGTGTGTGTGTGTGCGTGTGTATGTATCTATGTGTGTGTGTGTGTGTGTGTGTGTGTGTGTGTGTGTGTGTGTGTGTGTGTGTGTGTGTGTGTGTGTGTGTGTGTGTATGTATCTGTGTGTGTGTGTGTGTGTGTGTGTGTGTGTGTGTGTGTGTGTGTGTGTGTGTGTGTGTGTGTGTGTGTGTGTGTGTGTGTGTGTGTGTGTGTGTGTGTGTGTGTGTGTGTGTGTGTGTGTGTGTGTGTGTGTGTGTGTGACTCTACAGGAGTCAGTTAGGAATTTTGTAGGTCTCATCGTTTAATTAGTTTTTGTTAGTTTTCAAGCCCAGAGTCGTCCCTGGGACATTTCCCAGTAGAAGTCCACAGCGGAAAGTCAACAGAGTAGATTACAGGACAAACTTCGGGTGTCGTCACCCTGCCTCTGATTTCCGCTGTTGGACCCATCGCGAGGCCTTGCAAGCCCGTGAATGGAGCCATCTACCGCACGCAGTAGGAGACGAAAGGAGCTTACAGAGGCGTTCCACAAGGCGAAACGACTTATCCCGTCACCAATGCTCATGTTTCCTCTCGTCTCCGCCTCGCTCAACGACAAACACGTGACCTACATGGCAGTGTATACCAGGACCAGGACCAGGTGTGTGTGTGCGTGTGTGTGTGTGCATATGTTTATGTGTGTGTGTGTGTGTGTGTGTGTGTGTGTGTGTGTGTCTGTGTCTGTGTGACGTTACCACACACAGCAAAGCCAAGTTGACCATATAAAGAGTGGTTATGTATAGGTGCATGTGGGTCCTGTCTGCCATGTTACTGTGACCATATATAGACAAGGCACATTGCATTTGACCACAAATAGAGTGACCATGTACGAACTCAGCCGAGTTGGGAATGCATTATTGGAAATATGGCTGAAAGCTCTGTCGCAATATTTAGTTGGAACAATTTGACCATAATTATATAGAGCAATGACCACAAATAGAGGATTGCTGGGCCACTGAGTCCAACATACATGTATAGACATGTAGTGTTCCAGTAGATCCCGTAGGTTACCGTTTGCTAGGTCGATGTATTGTATGCTGACCCGGCACATGTGAGCATGATGCTAGTACTGACTAGACACTGTTAGGACCTGTCTAGACATGCGATTGTCTGTACCGTAGCATTAATCTAGTACATGCATGGCATGCAATACCTGCCGGATCATATGACGGAACTGGTTTGCTGATTGGCTGTAGGTCTGTTCGCTTTATCAGCTGTGTTTTTGTTATAGTACGAGTTTCACTTTGGGGAGAAGAGAGTTCTTTTTTGTCTCTTTGGAAAGCAGAGTTTTTTTGGTCCTGGAGAGAGGACAATAGCAGAGTTGGTATGTCCGTGCCAAGGCACGATGATGTGTGCATACTATTAGTCTAGAGATTTTCGTTCAGTTACGAAGAACAGAAATAAATACAGTCTTCTTTGGAGTCCAGATTCCGTGACCGAACAACTGGTCCTTCGAGCCGGATTCGAGTCCGAGGCAGTAATCGGAGTCGATGGAAAAAAGAACGAGCGTCAGGTCGACGAAGGGTAAGCCTCCTTCGCGATATGGAGAGTGGGATAGTGTCTCCCAAGTTTCCAAGAAATCCAGTAAGGAAGCCGAACTGGAACTCGCGGCCAGGATACGCGAGAGAGAGTTGCAAGCTGCTGAGGAATTAGTCCAGCTGGAGGCTGAGGCGGTCGAAAAGAGATTGGAACTCAACAGAGAGTTGGTGACCAAGCGATTGGCTGCAGACAGAGCAGCGCTGGAGTTGGAGCTCTCAGAGAAAGGCTCCACCGCGAGCAGCCGCAGGAGTCGGAGAGATGAAAGTGCACAGAGACTGTCCCACGCAGGTGTTGGACAAGGGCTCACGACAGAAGCACTCGTGCGCCATCATCAACTCCTTGAGAAGCTCAAAATTACCAGCGCAGAGTCTGGGAGAGCAGGGCGCGCCTTCAGCGTGGTGGACGCAGTTGACATCCAGCCAGCCAAGCCAAGACAAACACCAGCTGGTAGTCTGCATCCATGCATGAGTGCTGTGGATGTGGAACGAAGAAGTCCCCAGAGCTGGCTACCAAGTAAGACCAGAACGGTGGAAGTGGAAGCTGGTCGAAGTGACGGACTGCCATCCACAGTGACACATGCACAGTCCATTGTCATTGATGGTCCAGTGAGCAGCGACAGCGCTAGCGGCAGTCAAGTACATGCAGGTATGTCTGGTGATAGTGCAGTGAATCCTGTGTTGCAGAGTAAGGGCCCTTACACACTACGTACATGTAAAACGCAACTAACTTGAGCATACGTTGCGTATGCGCCAGCCTGATCAAGTGCAGTTGCACACTGACAGGTGATCTGCTTTTTACGTACATGTACTGATGTAGTGCAGTTCGGATGAAAATTAATGTTCTGCTCTCAGAACGAGTGCTGTGTGTGCTTCTTCGATTTCGTTCTGCATCTTGTGTTGGAGCCATGCCCATGGAGCTCAGGTTGACTCCGGCAAGGAGAAAGCGGCGACGTAAAATTGTTGCCGCCATGATATTGCAGGACCTGCAGAAGCTAGTGAAGTCGTCTGATGGCGGTCCTGTTCTTGATATTTTCTAGATGACTGATCGCAGTTGCTCAAATTTCATGGTCACGACGATGCTCAGCATGCTGTTGCGGAATGGTACCGTCAAAATACAGAATTGGTCGCAACTTGTGGACAGCTCACCCTGAGAACGAGTTTGGAACGCCTTGTTTTTTGATATATCGCCCACAGCTCTATGAGCTTCGTCTCCATTTCTTCTGTGCACTGGATTTTCGGCATCGTGTCGCGCTCAGCAATCAAACAAGATCGAGTCTACTACGGCTTGAACAACACGAGTTCAGGTACGAGAATTTCAGAAGCAGGCGAAAAGTCCAATGGACAGCTGAAATTGAAACACGGAAATCCACACAGCACCAAACAGCAAAAACACCAACAAGAAGTTGAAGTCCGAAAGCGCGGGAAGGCATAAAAGCTAAAAAGCTAAAAAGCAGCCTTCTACACCCGTCCGAGATCTGAGTAAAACGTTTACGCAACTTTTTAGATTTCGTGCCATATGACGTCAG